CAATCAGGCTTGATGGAAATCCGCTGAGGTAGAATTTAACGTAAAACTGGGATGCTTTTCAACGCTGAAACATGCAGTCGAGGATGCCTTGTAACGTGCTCCACTCAAACCACACACATTTCCCTCAGGTAAAGCAAGAGGCATTACTATCACTTGGGAAAAACTCGGAGCATGTCACGTCAACTAGAGCTTGTTAGATAGTATTTGAAAGGAATGGCACTAGCCCCTGCATTGAGAACATTGTGTAGTTGTGTTGGACTGGTAAAGAATTTGAGGCGACAATCAGAATGTTGCATCAACCAAGTCAGTTTGTCAATTAACTTCGAATTGGTACACTTCAAAATTGCTACACTTTCAAATAATCTGAAGAGAATTTGTTAATACCAACGCAAGCATTCAGTAAATCGAAAAGAAAACGACTTCGCAGGCATACTCACTATTCTCAGCAAAAGGATTTGCTAAAAACGCAGACAAATGTCAACTGCAACTAAGCAGTGTCGGTGCAAATAAGTTATTGCCATCGTCCTGTGCACCAAATCGCTTGGCAAACAGTCGAGCTCTGAAGCGTCGTCAGGTTGGACGACAGCCTCGGTTGCGAGCTTGACGGAGGGCAACGTAAACTCAAAACGCGATTTCCCTACTTGGCAACTTCACATCCACTCACTTCGCTCCTGAACCTGCCAGCAGTCCCCCTGTCTGTTCTTAACTAAGCAATTACCAACATGTTTAACCATCCGTGATGCACAAATTCAAGCCAAATTGGAAATTCGCAAGTTCGCCAGAGCACTCACGAACGTGTTTTAAAGGCTTCGCTCAGACAAAGACAGTGACAAATCATCACAACCTCGCATTCTACGCTTCCCAATAAACTGCTTCAATGATTTACAGACGCCTAGTGGGACACAAACCCACGCGTGTCAATCTAACCATCCTGTGTCTCTCATCTCATGTGCGTGCCGCACTACTCGTGTGAATCCACCTCACACTGCATCTACTTACAGCTGAATTCTCCAGCTACCACACTGGCAGCGATCGCGCTCCATGCAACTTAATTGCACCCAAATCACTCAAACAGACCCACATTCACACAACAGCCTTCCCAAATGCAAGTCTCACTCATTTTACGCACCCCAAAACATCACAACACCAACTATGGCAGAAATGCGATACCTCATCCTCCTCCTCCATCTCTCACCCTACGCCCTTCTCCTCTGTCTGGCTTCAAGTCAGTCCTCTGACGACTTCGAAACACCGCTTTCCACACTGCCACCATAAACATCCCCACTGCCACCAAGCATCAGCCAACTCTCCAAGTGGGACTGCCACGGGGTGCATCGCACCACTGCGTGCACATTTCCGTAAATCCACCGCGAACCAACTGCGTACGGTCTCGCTGGTTTTGTGTGACGCAGTCGCAATTCCACAGTGCTCAACACAACTAGCTGCTGCTCCATTCGACTGCATTCAAACCCGGCCACCTTAGCAGTCGCATTTCGTGCATTCCAGCGATACACTTGACCACATCCCCTCTCTCACCCCTTCACCGACAAGCGATTCATTTAAACAAAAAGCCGAAAACGTTTATTCAATTGCTGAATACAAATAACGCTAAGCGTCGTCTCCACGCCACAAGGCTTCTGGCAACATGCAAGGACGCGACTTGAACTCGTCTGAGGCCATGTAGTCCTTGACGTTCGGCAAATTCTGCAGAAAAAAATGTCGTAAGACCAACAGGTCAATCATGTTTGACCAAGAGTATTCATGAAAGTTGGGTCTGATGTGGAAGTATTTTGGAGTGTTACCACTAATCACCACGACCCGTCTATCTGACTGATTAAAAGTCCGTTCCGTTGAAGTGGAAATGGCCACTGCTAAACGCGCGGGCACAAAATACTTGCAAGATTCCATTTAAAGCCTTTACCACAAAGAATTTACCACA